GAACCGCTGGTATAGATGATCCGATAACCAACATCACACGGTATGGACTGGAACAGACGTTTGTAGTTATTTTATTGTTTTATATCAATCGTTGAAACCACGTAAGATCGGATTCAATCATATTTTTATGAATACCATATACATTCACAACCACACTCGCAATTACAAACACGTTTACGAGAGATTAATTTTAATATGACGAATTTAACCCCCCCCCCACCCATTATATTTAAATACAAACCACCCACACTGGACTATTAATCAATCAATCAGGTGCCGTCTCCACAGTGAGGGTTGGTTGCAATGGATCTCCAACACGCTCTGTCACTTGTTCTGTGAGTACACTCTCTCAGACTGCTGCCCGTCAATTTGTTGATGTTATCCTCCCTCTTTTATCGTTGCCCATCTCTTGCTCTCTTGCCTTCCATCTATCCCTCCAGTAAGGTTTTATAAACCGTGTTGTGTCTTTTAATGTGACCAGAGTATTTTAGTTGTCTCTTTTTGTATTTCTTCCAGTGTACTACACTGTTTTTGTTTCCATGAAATACGACCTGTTCTACTGTATACATATATTTCCAGAGACTCAATTCAATTTTCTAGCTGCTTGTTCACTGTCCAAGTTTCTACCCTTATAGCAGGATTGGGTGCCCATAACATTTCAAGATTCTCATTGTTAGTGTGTCGGACTATAAATTACTTGCTAACCGTTGTGTACTTCCCCGGCGATACCATGCTATACGGCTGACTGTTTGGTTGAATGGGGTTCGTAGCTGCTTGATTATCATCCTTGAGATGGACATCCTAACATAAAGCAAGTCTGAAGGGAGAAACAAAAACAATAGTAATAATATTAATAATTCGCGTAACCGACGAAGGAAAACGTACATTCACAAGAAATAAATAAAACACATATAGAACTTGAAAGAAAGAAAAGACTGGCGTTTGTTTGAAATAACTTTGTAATCTTTGTACATGTAAATTCTTTTAATTTGACAGAATTCATCAGGTGTCTATTATAATATTATAATAGGATAAGAAAACATATTCTGAGACACTAGACGATTTTATCAGGTAAAATGAGCAATGATGACAACGTAATGCTCGATAAAACCACATTCATGAGGCAGGGTGATACACTTTGTTGAGATACAAACATTGACTCTTTGAACAATGTGAGGCGTAAAGACAAAATAAGATAGTTCACAAAACACTATGTAAACATGTGCGCGCAATACTATTACGTCGAAGGAACCAATGTAAACATAAACAGGACAAATACCAGTTCCGACAATTAAGTAATGAGACTATTTCCGTAAAAACTCAAACAATCAACAGTTGAAGTTATAGCCTGTATTTTATTGAAAGTAAGCCCCTTGTGCATTGATACAGTGAGTAGCTGGATCTAACAAACACTGGAACGACCTTTGTAGTTTTTCTGTTGCTATGGGCCTTAAAGTCAATGTTACGAACCTTTGAATGTCATCAATTTCGTTAAAGAAGCGTCTGTTCAATGGAAACTTCAATTTTGGGAATAGAAAATAATCACAGGGAGACAAATCTGGGCAATAGGGTCGATGGCTGAGAGCACACACTTGTTTTGGGGCCAAAAATTCCTGTTATCATAATGTCTCTTGAATACTTAACCCGCTGATGTTTTTGGTCATCAGAAAACGAATGCGGTACGAACCTGGGGAAGCCAAAATCTTGCACTAAAATTTTACGAATGGTCTCTCTATTAACACCAGATTGATCTGACAACATCCTGACAGTAAAACAATGATCTTATTGTATCCGTTCTGTGACTTTTGCGATGAGTTCATCATTACAAACAGAAATTTGGCGTCCACGTTTAGTTGCATTAGTGATCATTTCCACACCACTTTTGAATCGTGAATACCCGCTGAAAACCTGTGCATCAGATAAACAGTTGTCCCCATAAACTTATCGCGTCAGTTCTACTGTCTCAATGTCGCTTTTTTTCGAGTTTAGGCCAGAATTTAATTTTAGCTTTTTGTTCCATGCTGATTTCGTAACAATGCTTATTTAACTAGGTCAATAAAATGGCTGCTAATTTGTGGTTTGCTTATCATGCGGCGATGCAAAGTTGCCAAATCATAAATGAAGGTTGCCTCTTTGGATTCTTTGCTCTGCTTCATAGATGTCCCTTTTGTCTTGGCCGTAATAAAATCAGTCTCACTACTTAATTGTCGGACCTTGTACAATAGGACATAATGCGACACAATTATATTAATTAAAATGAGTACTTCTTGTTCCTCTGGTCAATTTGACCCTTGTCACATCGTAATCTACGTCTCTCAATTCTTTCGGTTGACGCTATGTCTGGTATGGTGTCACAAGGCCTCTAAGTGGGTAAACCATTGTATTTGCTGTATGTAATATGGTACTGGTAATAAGGAGTCAAGCACTGTTATTACTATTTATGAGGAATATTGGGTTGGCCCTAGACACAATGGGAGAAAATAAGAGAGAATGGCATTATACAAAAACAAAGAAACTATTAGGGAGAAGTGATTTGTGTGAGATACAATGAGATATTATGAAAGAGATACAATCAGGCAATATGAGATACACCCAAACATGATGAAATACAAACATGAGACATGCTTAAACACAATTAGACTGAATGAGATCATGTGAGTTGCCATGAAAGCTAAGACACAATTAGGCAACATAAGATATTGAAACGCAATGAGATACCACTAGGTATGACTAAGAAAGATATTCAATGAAACTGTGTTAAACACCCTGCAAAAACTGAGATACACGAAACACTATGATGCAGCATGAGACACTGTCATCGGTAAGACATTACAAGACGTCATAATACAACCAGCCATACTGAAACATTACGCAACATTACAAAGCAAATACATAACTCAGTTTATCACAGTGCACACAAGGAGCAGTCCTTGGAGATTGCCCAAACATCTCCAGCAAAAAGTCCAAGCATCTGAGAGCACCAGATGAAGACGCTTACTTCCAGCAGATAATTCAATGAAATTGAGAGCACCAGGAAAAGACGCTTAATTCAGTCAAAGTGAAACAACATCAACCGTTGTCTATACTGTCCGGTTTGACTGATTTAGCCATTAAAACATCAAGTGGCTTTAGCGCTGTTGTCAGTTCTTTGACTTTAGAGCACATATTATACCAGCTCAGTCTCGTTTCCAGTGAAATATGAGAAAATGAATGTCCACTGTTGCTTGCTGTGCACGATATAACGCTATCCCTTCCCTAGCCTTTGTCTAGGATCATAAATTATCATCGTGTGCAAGGTCGACAAGTGTACGTGTGTATGGTCCGCCACCACACATCAGAATAATTGATAAGGTCAATGTTCTTGTCCCGTTAAGTCATCCCTTTATAATTTTCATCACATGATATGCCAATAAGATGGTGAATGTTGGTAACCAGAGTTTGTCATGAGAGTAGCGGTTGAGACGTGTGTTCGGTTTATCTATTAATCCATGCGGTCAAATTATCTATGGAATTTTTTTTTTATTTTTATCTTCCTCCTGCCCCCCACCCCTTTTTTTTCAAGGTCAACTTGACCAATTGCGCTGCATCTGCAAGGGAGTTAAGCAAACATTCTGGGAGCATGCATCTTTCAAACGTCACAGTATGGGCGTGAGTCACTGACTCTTACACAATCTTTGAGGGAGAAAACTTGGAGCTTTTGAATTGAAATGCCACAGAAATAGAATAACATGGACCAAGAAGTATGAAAACACCAACATTCTACATGATCTGATAATCAAGGAGAATTGGCTCATAAACAGCATTCCGTCTCCAAAGCTGCGGTATTTTGATCACGTTAAACGTCTTGGTGGCCTGAATAGAGCGGGGATGGAGGGTTTAGTTTCCAGCAACGGTGCTGTCAAACCTCTGCAAGAGTGCCGTGACGAGAGAGACGGTTTGTAAAAGACCAGTTGTCACTACATTTCCCTTATGGGGTTTACTTCTCATATGACTATGTACTGTATGTTTCTAGAGAGGGGGCAAGGGTGGGGGTGGGGGTTTAAGTCCGATGACATTTACAGTAGAAAATACCGCTAGAATTCCTTACATAGAAGACCAGGTTACTTCAGTGTGCTGACTGGGAGCACCAGTTAGTGCTCGAACTATAACCATCTTAGGAGGTTGAACGGGAGCTCTGGTATCTATTCATGTCACATTCGGCATACTTTAGATTTAAACAATGCAGCAGTCCACAAGGGATGAAACGCTCGTACATTACCTGCCATAAAGTTGTTATATTCATGCTGAGATCAACTTTTAACGTACAATTGAAACCAGGCAGTTATGTGTTAACGAATAAAGACTGATGCTTGCTTCAGGATTAATGTTAATTCCACACATCAGATAGGAATGACAGTGCTTTAGTCTGAAACTTGCATGTTATTCCAGAAATTATGTTTCTTCTTTTTCCTAGACCATGTTCTACCAGGGATTGAAGAGGCATCTGTTGCGAGCCTTTGTGAGGGCGAAGCTGATGCTGGTATTCTAAGTTCCGGATAAAGCGAGCATAAGTGAACTAAAAAGTTATTTTGAAATTTGAGAAATACATTTATCAAAACGTTTTTCATAAGCTAGGCCTTAACTTGCAGCAGCAGTTTGCTATAAACCGCCCCTGAACTTTGCATCGACACGTCTGTTTGTTATCTCAGAGATGCTGTTGACTAGGTAAGCGTTCTGAGATTTGTTGACAGATGTGATCAAACACGTCTTCAATTATGTCTTATCGTACACCAACACTTAAACAGCAGCGACACGCCAGCGTGTTATCTCAAAGGTACGCTGACAGTAGACTGAGCAATATTGTTTTGGCACAATGAACTTTTCGAACATGTCTTTTCACCAATCAGCGCCTTCTCAATATAGTCCGTCCAGTGCCTAGGAATGATGAGAGAAATACTTCCTGTGGTAAGCCATATAAAAAATTTACGCCATTCTTTTCTTTCCAGGTGAAATCACAAGGTTTAGTGGAGATAAGAGACGCTTGACTGAAGACCGCCAGTGTTGTGTATAGAGAATGGTGACATGACACCCTGCGCCATGATAGGTCCGCGTTGAAACTGTCCATAGAGACTCATGGGAAATCCCATCCCTAGCAGAGGAGGCATCATAGGTTTGGCCGCCATTCTCAGCTTCTCCAGTTCTGCCTCCTGAAGACGTTTGGCTTTGGCTCTTCTGTTCTGGAACCAGATCTTCACTTGTGTTTCGGTCAGGGTGAGGGAGGCGGAGAACTCTGCCCTCTCTGCTATGCTGAGATACTGTTTCTCCCTAAACTTTCTCTCTAGTGCCAGGAGTTGTGACGTCGTGAAGGGCGTCCTGGGTTTCCTGTTAGGCTTGTGTTTTCTCAGCGTCATTTTGTGAGGTGCCAAACGAGGGGCCGGGGGCACGCCTGTGGAAATAGCAGGATGCACCATTAGGTTATGAGTCTACATAAATATAAACTCACGGAATCTATACCAGCATAAACTTACGGAATCTATACATACAAGGTCTGACAATAAAGTAATGAAACTGATTTTATTAAGGCCAAGACAAAAATACCATCTATGAAGCAAGGCATGGAATCTAAATATGCAACATTCATCCATGATGTGGCAAAATTTCATCGCCACTCGATAAGCAGACAACAAAGAAACAGCCATTTAGTCAGAGGTGCATTGTTGCGAAATCAGCACGGAGCAAAAAGCTAACATTGAATTCTTTTTTTTTTTTCAAACTCAGAAAAAAGCGTCATTGAAACAGTTGAAATGGCGCAAAAAGTTTATCTTGTGTACACATTTTCAGGTGTTACTCACGATTCAAAAGTGGTGTGGAAATGATTACTAATGCACCTAGACTTTTCTGTTCGTAATGATGAACACATTGCAAAAGTCAGAGGACGGATACAAGAAGATCATTGTTTTACTGTGAGGATGATGGCAGATGAATCTGGTGTTAATAGAGAGACCATTCATAACATTTTAGTGCAGGATTTTAGCAAGAAAAAAAGTTGCTTGCTGGTTTGTTGCACATTCGTTGTCTGACGACCAAAACATCAGCGGGTTAAGTACCCAAGAGACATCTTCAAAACGTTAACTGAGGCAGAATGTGCTGGTCTAGATTTGATCCACGCTATCGAAATGATTGCACTTGCGGGACAGAATTGAGGACTGGGTGCCTACCCTTTGTTACTTATAACGTACAACAAGTTGATGATAATGTTGTTAATGATAATGATGCCAGCTACAAAAACTTTAAGGCTTGACGATGAAACCACAACACCACCCCCCCCCCCCCCCCCCCCCCCCTCCCCCCCCCCCCCCAATCTTTAAAAAAAAAAAAAACCTTAAACAACCGCAGGAAAATAAGGTTGAGACAGGCAGATAACCCACGGAGAGCAATAATACACTGTTGCTCGGCTGCAACACAACATTCATGAATTACAAATAATGAATCCATTCACTTAAGTCAAGTTAAAGCCTACAGCTAAACTGCTCAAGGATGAGCTTTAATTATAAAAGTAATAAAATCAGCCCCGGTAAATGGGCGCAGTTTACCGGTTGCTATTTGCACGAATGTGTTACTGTTTTAAATTACTTTCAGAATCATTTACCTTCCTTAAAATTCGATTAATTTAATTGTTTTTTAATTCGACTCCAGCGTATGTTTATAAAAATTTCTTCTTCTGTCTAACTCTTCCCTTTATCCCCCAATGGAGCATACGTTTATAAAATTTATCGAAGCTCATTGTTCAGACTATTAAACTCAAATCTCTTTTCAATGATATGTACTAAACATTCCGAGGTGAATTGCCTGTCAAGTAAATAGAATCTGTCAAGATTTGATATTCTCTATTCTTCAGTGAATGAAAGACACTGAGCTGCAACAACAATATGTTTTTGTCTATTCTATTACTCAGAAAATTGCCTCCTGGGTTCTATTCTCATCTTCCTATTGATAGTTTTATTGCTTTGCGTCCTCTTATGTTCACAACAACCAATAGATATTCTGCTCTTTAAATTCATAGTTCTGGAAAGGTACATCCCCTTGTGGGTTCCGGAGCCCCTTTGTGGGGAAAACAAAAATAGGCCCACTGCCTACCCAACAAGCAAGATCTAATTCGGGGTTTCCTTCGAAGTCGGAGTGTATCTGCCAGAGAGGCAAGGAACCAGCAGTCTGCATACAAATAAGTCAGATCTGTAAAACGGATGTGCACGCAAGACTCGGGTTCTGGAACAAGTCTTAAGTCTAGCTGTGGATGAACAGCCAGAACTTTCCCCCGGACTTTACAGCCTGAGAAGGCGAAGAAGAAGAAAAAGGAACAGTACATACTTAACTGTATGAAGTTGCATTGTGTTGATAACCTTGTTTTGATATTTGCTGACATGTTAGAGTTACATTCTTAACCTCTAATATATGATGCTGATTATGAGAGATTAAAAGACGGGCAGCTATAAACACAGGTAACTAGACAGACAGACAGAC